AGAATCCAGATCGGGAGTTCGAACCATTCGAGTTCGGAGACAGAATTGCCGAATCCATCAAAAAGGTTTGCAGAATTACTGACTTCTCTTCTTCAGGGTACAGGATTACTCAATAGCACGTATATTAGCTTTTTTCTTCAATAGAGCACGGCCAGTAGTGCAGCACTGTTGCTATTACTTCCTAATTAAGAACAGACTAACCTATTTGATAAGCAAAATAGATAAATTGAAGTTATGTCGAATTCAAGGAGGTCATTTTTGTTTATTTTGGTTACTCTATCAATATACTGGGAAATGCGGTCCATTCGTTTAGTCATTCATACAGACTATGGAAATGTGGTTTGCGTCCTTCTAAGAGTCAGCTGAAACGATTAATCTTAAGGTGGTCCTAACCCACGACGATGGAACACTCACAGGACGAATTCAGTTTGACCCTCACACTGGATGGCGCACCAACTTTTCCGTTACGGTGATCGAAATCAAACCTGGAGTTAATACTCTGAACAGCATCAAAGAGGCGAGTCTAGGGAGTTGATTATTATTTCCTTGTCATGAGTAGAATCAAGCTTTGCAGCGATTTCAATGGGCTCAAGGAAAAGGATTTCTGCTTGGAGAAGCCTTGCAACAAAACAAAACTAATAAGAGCTCTATTGAGAAAGGCATTCTGCCATGGAAATTGAAACTGAATGTTGTCACTGTTTTGGTGAGTTCACTGACAAAAAGTTCAATTTGTGACCCCAACTGAGCACTGTTCTCCTCTTGTCTTGCGATGGAAAGATGGCTGTCTCTATTCATTGGCATTCACAAATCGTCCAACTTCATATTGGCGTAGCAATCAAGCCCCCCTCCCTCCCCCTCCCACATCATCAGAGTTGAGGTCATCCACAAAATGATTAGGCAACAGTATCAAGGGTTTTTGGACCGTAACCATGTTCGGTAGCTGTACGCCCATCATAAGGACATGTCGCTGACATTTTGGACGGCTTTTACAATGGTTGCGAGGGTAACTAACAGTGATAGAATCACACCACAACGCTTTGCGCAAAACCTACTGAAGGACCCGTTTGCATACTTAACATAATCAAGTTGTCGTTATTTGTCACATGGAAGGGATTCGCGAGGCACCGGAGTGTTGCTGGGCTGTAGTGTCATGGTATTGTGGAGTTATGGACAAGCTCTACCTCATCTGGCGATGATTCCCATCTGTGCTTAGCTGATATCGCTCTCACTGTACTGTCACGACTAGCCTTCTTTCATCGATAAACGTTATACAGTACGCACCTCGCAATCGAGCAGTCGGGGTCCACAACTGCAGACAAGACCCAATGTAGCATACACAGTTTCAGTAAAATAAGGGCTATGTTAGACCTCTTCCTAGGAGAAAGGTCTTGATATGGTAATCCTTACTGTTTCCGCCCGCTGCACGTACTTGCTCCTTGGTCACCCTTGTCCTAATCTGGTCTTGAGCTTTATTAACCTTCTGAAGGCATAGGTACTGCCAAAGCGTGTTGGGAGGGAGGGGGGGAGGGGGGAGCTGCCGCCCTATCTGATTGACCGCATAATTCATGGTCGCAATAGCAAGGAAATAAATG